GTCAGGGTCAGGGTCAGGGTCAGGGTCAGGGTCAGGGTCAGGGTTAGGGTTAGGGTTAGGGTTAGGGTTAGGGTTAGGGTTAGATTTAGGCCTAGAGTACTACAAGGCTCAAATTAGAGCTAAGGTTAGGATCCTCATGGTTATTTAATGTTTAGGTTTAGTGTTAGGGTTGGTATTATGGTTTTTGCTTGTTCTGGGGATATAACTAGGTCTAGGGCTAGTGGTAAGAGTAGGATAGTGATCCTCCAGAGATAGAGTTAGAGTTAGAACTACGTCATGGCCATGGTTAGTGCTAAGGCTCGGGCCAAGTCCAGTGTTCAATGCTAGTGTTGTGGTTATGGTTAGGGTGAGATTTTGGTTTCATGTTACGGTTTTGCACAGGCTTAGCATGATGGTTCCAGCAGGGTTAAGGTTACAGTTAGGACTAGAGTTACTGTTAGTATTATGAATCCACCACGTTTATGGGTAGGTCCAGAATTAAGATCAGCATTATAATTAAGACTAGTATTAGGGGTACTAATAATCAGAGTTAGGATTATGGTTAGTATTTTGCTTATGGCTATTGATAGGGTTATGGCTAGCAAGTGGGAAACTCATCAGGGTTGAAGTGAGTCTTTGAGTTAGGGTTATGGTTAGAGTTAGGGTAGTGCTTGGTCTAGGCTAAAGTGGTGTTCAACTAAGGTTTGGTTAGAGTTTGTAGCTTTATCATTAGGCTTCCACCAGATTTATGATTATCATTAGTGTTCTCATTTGGCTTGGGCTATGTCTAGGACTAGGGCTAGAGTTCTATAAGAATTAGAGTTTGGGTTTGTTTAGGATTAGGGTTAGGTTAAACCTGGGGCTAGGGCTAGGGAGAACACTGAGTCTGGTGTTTTTTCATGGTTAGTGTTAGTGTTAAGGTTATGGTCATTGTTCATTCAGAGTTAGTGCTATAGTAGGCTTTGCCCTAGTGTTTGATTTAGGGTTCAAGCTATGTCTAGGGCTAGTGTTACAGTTACACCAGGGTTAGGTTTGAGTTAGGGTTAGGATGAGGATTAGGGTTAAGGTGAGGCTTATGGTTAGGGTTTGTCAAGATTTATGATTTAGGTAGGTTAAATGTCATTTACTGCAAAGATTAGAGTTAGGTTTGGTATTCACGTTATGGTTACATTATCCTTAGAGTTAGAATTCCTCCAGCTTTACAGTCTGCATTAGGCATAGTGGTCTGATTGAGGCTTGGAATTAGGTCTACAATTGCTCCGGAGATTTGGTTAAGTATCTGCATATGGTTAGAGTTCGGGTTTGTTGTGTTTCTGGATTTTGGCCTGCTGGAGTCTTCTTCTGGGCATAATTCCAGGTTCTTTCTGTCTGCGAAATAATTAGTCAAGTGAAGCACAAAATGTAATGATGCCACAGAGTTATAAATGTAAGTGTATAAAGCAGTGTCTGTGGAATGAGTTTAGGACCAGTGAAACAGGAGAAGAAATAAGTACACTGTATACGGCATGAGTGGGCTTCCATGATGGGACGTGATCATGAGAGCTCAATGGCAGATGTTCTTTTTCTTTTATTTTTCTACACTGGCATGAGGTTTAGGTCACCATTTTGCAAACCTACTAAATTTCTCACAAGAAGTCCACATGCAGGGCTTTGAGAACTGTGCTGAGCACATGTCCTGGGATTTTGTAGTTAGCATGTCCCAAGAATTATCCCAGCTAGTATTTCATATGCCCTAGTGGGACGTTTTATTTAACAGAATTTTGTATTTAACCTCCTCCTTTCCTAGCCAGTCTTTCGCACACCCTAGCCTCCTGCCTCATCTCTTCCTGAGAGACACATCTGCATACACGTGCTTTCTGCTGGAAGAGGCTGTTGGTTATATGCCTTGGGGATTATGTTCTTTCCAACTATGTCAGGATGTTGTAGCTCATTGGCTGGGCTGAGAAAACAGCCAATGAGAAAAGAGTTAGTGATTTTGGGGCTGTCGGTTCAATGTGAAAAAGGAGGTAACTTTACTATTAGGCTGAGAGTGTGGAGCCCAAATATGAGGAACAGTTTAGCTTCCATGCTTCCTTTGGAGGAGAAAGTATGGCAAAGAAAGATGCCTGGTAAATTCTTGTCAGCCTGAGAGCCATGACCTCTGCAAGCTCCCATTTATTATCTGCACTCAGAGGAGTCCTGGAGTCTTGCCGCTAGCAGAATAATGTCAGGTTTTCCAGAAGTTCTTCTGGGTTGTCTTTTTCTTCAGACAGTCCAAGTGGGACTGACTTTATTCTGGGCAGTTGAAAACAATCATCTATCTCTGCCATCTTTCCTGCAGTGGGTGTGGCAAGTGTCACTGAAAAATGGCTCTTCCGTTTTGTTTTATTGGTCTGCAGGAGTCTCCTCTTTCCAAGTTTTAAAGAGAGCTTGGTCTCCAGGCTAGACATTAGGTATCCCCTCTGGGCGTGGAGCTGACAGGACTCTGTCCATGTACAGTTGAGTAACCTGTTGTCCTTGGCCCAAATGATTAAGATACTGTAAAAATCTTATGGTCTCTGATATATCAAAGATCCTATCAAAAGATAGAAAAGGTCCCCCACATAACACACCAAACAGACTCATTTGTAGCCCAGTTTTGGGGTTTAGACCTTCATGAGGGCTATTGGCAGTCATCTGAGACAAGACTCAGATGTTTCTTGCCAGTTATGCCCGGGCTCACTTTCAGATCTCATCGGCTCTTTTGACCTGTCTAAAAGACTGAGGACTCATGTAGAATGGAGATGAAAGTTTCTTCCAAAATCATTAGCCTCCTCCTGAGTTATTTGAGAGGTAAAAGAAGGCCTATTACTATGCAGAAGTTACTGGATAATTCAAACTGGGGAGTAATTTTTGAGGAGCACCTTACTACCTCCATGGCGTTTTCTAAGTGGGTAGAGAAGGCCTCAGTCTGGACTGTAATGTGTCTATTAGGACCAATATTTGCCTAAGTTCCCCACATCATGGCATATAGGTCAAGTTTTCGTCTGTCCTCCACAAATTTTGTCCCTCTCCTCTCCACCGGTTCTAACAAAGGAGGTGTTTTGGGCTCGCCAGGGTTCTTTTAGGCACAGAGTGGGCAAGCTTTGCAGACCTGTCAGGTGGTTGCTGCTCGTCTTTGTCCTGTGAAAATCTGAGTGACCATTTCCAGTGTAGCATGGCTTCCCATATGCAAAGAAGCATCACCTGTTTTGTATAGTCTTCCACTGTGTTCCTTTAGGAAGCACATTTGTTTTCTAAATATCACCAGAGTCCCTTGTTTATTTCCCCTTGTCCTTAGGTCTCTTTAACTTCTTGGAGAGTATAGACTGCTTTTAATGTTTCCATAGGAATTGAGAATCAGACTAAGGTTTTGAGAGGTAAGGTCTTCCTATCAGACTTTTGATTACCTAAAGAGACTTTTGACATGTCTCTCTGATGTCCCTTACAGTGCATGACAATGTCTTGTTTGGGAAGATATACAGCCTCTTGGAGTTGTAGAATTTCCTTTTTGTGCTTTATAGATGCTTGCTTATTAGTAAGTCCCTTTCTTGCCAGAGGGCTGCATGGGCCTGCAGTGCCAGAAAAGCATATATCGAGTCTGTATATATACTTAGCTTCTTTTTGCTTTTTTCGAATATGGATGCCCCAGGAAGAGCTACAGTACCTGGGCTATGGATTTAGCTCAGCAGCACAGTGCTTTCCTGGCAAGCACGAGGTCGTGAGTTGGATTCGTGGTACCAGAAGAAAAAAAAAACATGTACAATGTCTGCTTTTTGAGTAGAAATCCCTCATGAAAGCAGTTTGACCTCAATGACCTTTTGTGGACTGACAACTGTATAATCTGCCTTTTATGTCCTTCTTGGGCCAAGCTACTTCCATACATGAACTACCCCTCTTCAGGTACTTGGAAGGGCAGGTCCTGGATGTCCTGCCTCCTTTCATAGGTGTGGAAGACCATTTGTTTAGAATAGTGGCTAACTTCTGGGCCTATGATAGGACTAGGGCTAGAACTAATGTTTGAGGTAAGACTAGGTTAGGTTGACTGTTAGAAACAGTATTAGGTTTATGTTTAGAGTTCTTCTAGGGTTTAGGTGAGAGTGAGAAGAGTTTATGTTAGCGTTAGAGTTTTCAGTGTTATATTGAGCATGCCAATGGTTTAGGTGAGAAATAAGTTGAGTGTTAGAGTTCCACCAGAGTTAGTGTTAGTATTAGATTTAGTGTTAGTTTTTGTGATAGCCCCAGGGTTAGGGATAAGCCTATTGTGAGGGCCAGTTTTAGGGCTAGGGCTTGGGCTAGGGCTAGCAACAGGACTGGGAGAGTATGGCCAGAGCTAGGGTTCCACCATGTTCATGGTTAGATTTAGAGTTAAGGTTGAATTCTGGATTTCACTAGGTTTCAGGTTAGATTTCAGTTTAGATTTAGGGTTTAGGATTCACTATGTTTTTGTGTTGGGTTACTTTAGGGCTAGTGCTGGACTAGCGCTGGGTCTAGTGCTAGGGTTTAAGCCTTAGGTTTGGTGTCAGATGTAAGGTTCCACGAGGATTAGGAGTAGGGTTCCGGTTAGTCCTAGGACCGGGGCTTGAATTAGAGCTTGGGATAGAGCTAGGTGTACGAAGAGATCTACAGAGTCATGGTTGTGGTTTTGGTTAGGGGAGAATTAGCGTTCCCCTAGACCAGTCATGGCAAACGTACAGCATGCATTTTATTCGTTTTTCTCTTAAGACAAAAAGTGTTAGTGTGTGAATTGTTTTTCTAAACTAAAACATGAGTGTTCGGGATTGACTGCAGTGTTGGCACATTGTAATAAATAAGTAGGTTTTAGTTTGCAGTTTGGTTACTTGTCCCTAAAAGGTTTGCCATCATTGGCCTTGACTTAGGTTGAAACTTAGGGTTAGTGTTTGGACAAGGTTACTGTTAGGGTTATTTCCTGTAGGGTTAGGGTTAGGGTTAGGTCTAGGGCTAAAGCTAAAGTTTGAGCTAGCCCTGGGACTAGGATTTCACCAGAGTAATGGTAGTGTTAGTGTTGAGGTATAATTAGTTTCCCAATGGAGTTAGTATTTGTTTATTGTTAGGGCCAAGGTTACTGTTAAAGTCATGATTCCATTAAAGTACTGTTTAGGGTTAGTGTTATGGTTGAGGCTGGTAATAAAAATAGCAAAAAATCTGGGTTTCCATCATGGTTAGGCTAGGATGAGGTTTAGGGTAGGTGTTGGTGCTATGATTCAGTTGAGAAAAGGACTAGGGCTAGTGCTAGGATTAGTGTTAAAGTTAAGGCTTGGTTTAGGCTTAGCATTCAGTTTTAGGTTAGAGTTAGTGTTACAGTTAGGGTTAGGAGAGGACAGATATCCTTGGTAGGATAGATAGGGTTAGGACAGTATGGGTAGGATAGGGATATAGTTAGTGACAGGGTTAGTGTTAAGGTCAGGGTTGGGTTTAGGAGTCCACTAGGGTTGGTATTATTTTTAGGTTTAAGTTTAGAGTTAGGGTTAAGGTATATTTTTTGTTTAGGGTCAGGTTTTTCGTTCACCAGGGTTAAAACTAGTGTCAATTTAGTGATAGCCTTAGGTCCAGAACTATGGCTAGGTTCAGAGTCACAGTTAGCTCTTGGGCTATGGTTTCATTAGGTTTAGCTTTAGGAATAGTGTTAGAGTTACTGCTAAAGGCAGGGCTAGGCTTCCACTGACATTAGATTTAGGGTTAGGATTAAGGCTAGCTTGTGTTTTCCACCATGATTAGAATAGGATTTGGCTTGGTGATCGGGCTAGGATTAGTTTACTTCTAGGATTAGGTTTAGGTTTTGGATTAGGTTTATAGAATTTCTTGAGGGATATTGTTAGATTTAGACCTAGGGTTCAGCAGAAGCACAGGGTTAGTGTTCCAGCATGGTTAGAGTTAAGTTTAAAGTTTAAGGCTAAGGTTAGGGTTAAATTTTGGGCTCGGGCTATGCAAGGGCTAGGGCTAGGGTTCCATCTGGGTTTGTATAAGGGCTAGGGTTAGGTTATGTTTAGAATTAGTGTTAATGTTCCTCCAGGTTTTGGTTAGGATCAGGGTGAATGTGAGTGTTATGGCTAGGTCTATGCCTAGGCCAATGTCTAGTGATAAGGCTCCTGTTAGGGGTAGAACCAGCTTTAGTGTTTCATTTTAGGTTATGTTTCTGCCAGGGGTAGGCTTAGATTTAGGCTTAAGCTTAGATTTATGTTGAAGGTTATGGTTAGGGCTTGGGTAGGGCCTTTCTTCAAATAGGGTTAGCTGAAGTCTATGGTTAGGGTTAGAGTTACCATTAGATCTTCAGTAAGGTTAGAGTTGTTAAAGTAAGTTTGGGGTGAGATTTAGGGATAGTGCTAGTGCTAGGGCTAGCGCCAGTGTTACAAGGTTAGTGTTTTTGGTTATGGTAGGTTTAAGATTAGAGCTAGGTCCAGGTCTGGGGCTGGGGTTCAGGGTTACGATGGGGATTTGGATATGGTAGGGCTAGGTTTACACTATGGTTAGGGTTAGATTTATGTTTAGAGTTAGGGATCCACCATAGGTAAGTCAGATTTATTTATGTTAGGGTTAGGGGTAGTGATATGGCTACACTTAGAATTAATGCTAGGGCTCGGGCTATGGTTAGAGTCCCACTAGTTTTAGGGGTATATTTAGGGTTAGGCTTTGGGCTAAGGTTAGGAATAGGGCAAAGGGCATGACTAGGGTGAAATTTAGAACTAGGTCTAGGTTCCATGATTAGGGTTAAGTTTACATTTAGGGTTATTTGTAGGTTTGGGGTAGGGTTAGGCTTCGGTTCCCACAACAGGTTCAAGTTAGGGTTAGGGTTAATGTTGAGGTGAGGTCCCAGCCCAAGACTGACCTTACCGACCTGCTGCCACTGCTACTGCCAGTGTCCTGTGCACATTAGGCCAGGGAAGACCCAGTGTGGGATGACAAGCCTGATTATCTTGTCCCAGCCACTACCACCACCAGCACCAGAGGCCTGCATGTGCCCTGCCAGGGAGGACCAGCTCAGAGCAACTGACCTGATCACCCCACCCTCAGCCAATGTTGCCGGGGCCTGCTCCTGGAGTCTCCTCAGCACAGGGCAGCATAAATGACAGTCAGCAGACTCACCTGACTGAAGAAGAGACCAAGACCCAGAGGGAGAATTTTGCTTCAGTACTGAATGGTTACTGTGCCACAGACACAGGTGAGAGAATACAAAGGTAAGAAAATATCTTGGGAGACAGGCTTGGAAAGAGGGACTGCTAAAGAGAGATGTCTTGAGATTCCTTGGGAGGCTCAAGATCAGAGCAGGAATTTCACAGGCTCTATATTCCATTGAGGGAGACCTTGGAGGGTGAATCCCTCAGAGGGGATATCTTGAAGGACAAGGTAGCTAGTCTGGTGCAGTGGTGACAAATGTGCCCAAAGAGCCCTCCCTTTTGGCAGATGAATCACACTAGCATTGCATCTGCAGGTGAACATGGGATAACTGTGCCCATAAGGGTAGTGGTGGCACTTTGTGATATGTAAGTGGGTTTTTTTTTTTTTTTTTTTTTTTTGTAAGTGGGTTTTGGATTGCAGTTTGGGCACGCGGTCTCTTAAAGTTCCCCATCACTCATCTAGTGGTATTTTGGAGCTCTGGCACTGCTGCCTACAACCAGCACAAAGTTGGTTGTCTGAAGTTTTATAGGCTAATATGTGGGTGGCCTTATAGTCCACTAAAATCATAAACCTCTTAGTTCTGGTTCAGGATTCATAGTAGTTTCTAGGGTTTGTCAGTATCCAGTAGAAGTTTGATGCCATTGTGGGGACTGAACTTAGTAATGTAGCCAAACTAACGTTGTAATGTATAACAACTGATTTTTCTCTCTATGCCAATATCTAGATTTCCTGGGGACCAGAAAAAGTTAAAAAAAAACTGGATATACCCTCACAGGAACATACGAAGACAAGACAACAGAAGATCCTGAAAGTGTTCTAAGTCTCCTAAGGCAAATGAAAGGGACACAATTGGAGAGGAAGCAAGTGCCAGGTAGCAGAACCCTACGCAATGTTTGTAGAAAAGATGAAGAGAATAGATGAACTCCAAGAGGAAATGAACCAAAAGTTCACTGACTATCACTCAAACTGTTCAAAGTGGATAAGCGAGACATAGGTAAAAAATTGGAAGAGTTGACCAAATTAGTTCAAATCATGAATGACAAATTCACCAAAGATTTAGCATCCTCAAATGATGTCAGACAGATAAATCTGAAATAAAACCTGTATAGAATTGATGTTTCAGAAATGAGCAATGTGAAGCGTGTCTGATATTCAGAACAAAATGGTGAATGATAAAGAAGTACTAAGGATAGCAGGAAGAAAAACTACCCAAGAGCTGTTCAGTGACAAGGAAAAGAAAAACATAAGGCTAAGTGGAACCAGAGAAAAGCTAGCGGATAACACAGATAGAATTATTAATATGTCTACCGAAATCACAGCAGAAAACTTCCAAATATGAGAAAAGAGTTCAACATACAAGCAAGCAAAGCTACAGGAACTCCAATGATTATAATGAATAAAGGTCATCAGGAGACATCATGATCAAACAGGGATGTAAGGATGGTTCAGCATGTGTAATCAATAAATGTAGTACATTACACAAACAGGAGCAAGGTGAAAAACCGTATGATCATATCAGTGGACACAGGTCAGAAGAAGAAAGAAAATTTTATTGATGCAAGTGGATCCCAGAGGAGTGATCTCCAAAGTCTGAGGTGTTGATTACAGAGAGCTTGGCTTATGTAAAAAGTGGCAAACAGAAATTGCAGGAATGAGA